CATAGTGCAGCATAGACAGACAAGGACATGCAGTATGTTCAAGAGGTTAAGAGATACCGACAACAGAATTAGAAGGTCTACATCTTAGTAACTGGAGTCCCAGAAGGACAGATATAGACAATGGAGAAAGGGCAATATTTGATGAGATGACAACTGAGCATTTTCCAGAAAGGATAAAAGATTTAAATCCACAGTGCAAAGTATAATTAGACAGGATAAATAAAAAGAACATCACATATAGACAAATTATAGAAAATTTAGAACATCAAGAACAAAGAGCAGCTAAAGATAAAGCAGATGACCTACACAGGAACAGTAATTAGACTAAAAGCTGCCCATTCATCATCAACAATGGAAGCCAGAAATCAGAATAGCATCTGCAAAGCACTGAGAATGAGACAAGCATTTACCCTGGGCAAGACTATTGAGTAGTTTTTCTTAAGGGTGGTTGCATTCCCCCCAAAACCCCCAAATAAATTAACTTCAGACCTACACTTCAGAATGGTAGGGGTGGGTAAAATTAGTGACACTGGTCACATTAACAGCATTGATTTACATCCTTCTACATTCCACAATGGCTTTCAGTCTGCTTCTAATACATAATTTTCACCATCTTGCATGAATGATGGTAGACATTTTCAGATAGAAAGAAACTGAGTTTATCACCGATGGACTTTTACTAAAGGAATTTAAAAGGGTGTCCTTACAGAAGAAAATGATCTCAAAGGAATGTCTAAGAAGCAACAAGGAATTCTTAGAAACAGAACCACAAAATATATTGGTAAAGCTAAAGAAATTGTATATAAAAATAATATCTAATTTGGTGGTTTAAAAAAAGTACAGAACGAAATTGGACAGTAATACCACGGAAGGAGTTGATGAACAAAAAGAGTGTCTTAAGGTTCTTGTATTGTTCAGATGGGGGATTAGGATATTAACTTTTTTTTTTTTTTTTTTTTTAGGATATTAACTTTTGATTTGTCAAGTAAGGTATGCATGTAAAATGTCCAAGGTAAACAGGAAAAGAACAGTAAGGCAGTGATTAACACCCCAAATATAACAGGAGAATAAAGAACAAGAACAGCATGATTCCATAAAAGATGCATGAAAAAGAAGAAAACAGTAAAAATGTGAAAACAAATCAAACATTTCATAAATATTAATAAATGATAAAAGTAAATAGCTAATATAGTCAGATAAAAGGCAGGTATTTTGTTAGATTGGAAAGAGACTGGAATCATGTACCTATATCTCAGATATTTTATTATTTTTAAGGTGCTAGAATGAATAGCACACAGGTGTTCAAAATATGTTGCTTAAAAAGCCTAGCTACTTTTATACAAAATGATTAGCTATTTACAAGTCATTGTAAATTTTGCTACCCACCTCTATGTTTGTCAAAAGTTTGAAGTATGGTTTATTTGCCTGTATAATCATACACACCTTAAACCTGTGAGATGCCTCTGTGTGTCAATGAATGTCACTAAGTTCCAAGATGACAATGGGTTTTACAGGTACATGTCCATCTTCAAAATGTCTGCCTCATGAGCTTTCTTTTTCAAGAATACAAAATACCAAAAATGGAAAAGAAAAAAAATACAGTGTTATTTATATGAAACACGCAGATATGTGACACTGTGTGTTCTCTTTGGGCACTTCCCAGACTTAAGATATACACAGCTTGCTAAGTCAACTCAATAATTTGTAGAGGCTTAGCATTAAAAATGTTCCCTATTTGTGATTACCCATTGTACTTGAAAATTGTTCTTGCTAACTTTTCACTTCTGGTGATCCAAGTGAATAGCATTTACCAAGCACCCACGGTATGAAATCTAAGATGTTAAAGGCAGCCTCCAAGGGCAACAAAATGGAAGAAATTCCAGAGATGAATCTACAAGTTAGGTTCTATATAATTGTTAAGTAGACGTGAAACGGATTGGAGGATGAAAGGACAGTTTTGCTTTGGATAAGACTGCAGCAAGAGTTTCTCTTAAGGGTTGTGCTCCCTGAACTTCCCCCCTGCAAGAAATTGGACTAATCTGAGACTTCAGAGTGGTAGGGGGTGGGGAAAACTGCTCCCTGATACTAGTCACACCAAGTATATTTGTTTACGTCCACAAAGGATTTGAGTATGTTTAAAACATGTAATTACCTCTAAACTGAAAAGAAAAATGAAAAGATCATGGAAAACTTAAAGAATATCAGTCTGAGCCAGAGATCCCTAGATTTTGCTGCGCATTAGAATCACCTGGGGAGCTTCTAAAACTTCTGATGCCCATGTGGCACCCCTCAGCAATTAAATGAGATTGTGTAGGGGGTGGGAGGTACAGAGCAGTGATTTTAAACATCCCCAGGTGTTCCTCTGTACAGCCAAGTTTGGGAACCACTGGCCAGGGCTGCCATTCTCAATCTTACAGGGACATTAGCATCACCTGGGAAGCTATTGCAACTACCATTGCCTGTGCTCCTATGAAAGTTACATCGGTCCTGTGAACCAATGAAATCATATTCTCTTAGGCTGGCCACTGGGTGCCTGGTCATTTTAAAGCTCCCCAGATGATAACAATGTGTATCCAGGGGTGAGAACCACTGTACTGGGGGAAAGCTGGTACATGATTACACAGGGGATTGATTTTGTTGTTTATGGGGTTCTTTTATGACTTAGGGCCATAAAATGGGTCCTGAGTTTCCTGGTGGTCAAAGTTAATAGAAAAACAAAATTAGTTGAAATAATTCTTGTCATCCATCATGGAAAAGCTTACCAATTCCTTAGAAGAAAGCTTTTCCTCCTAGGTCTGAAATAAATGTCTTGTTTGAGTCTTCTTACAGGAAACACTGAACGTTAAAGATCATGATTTTATTTATTTTTTAAATTTTTTTGCTGTGAGGCCAAGATCATTTTCTTTTTACATCTTTATTGGGGTATAGTTGCTTTACAATGGTGTGTTAGTTTCTGCTTTATAACAAAGTAAATCAGTTATACACATACATATGTTCCCATATCTCTTCCCTCTTGCGTCTCCCTCCCTCCCACCGTCCCTATCCCACCCCTCTAGGTGGTCACAAACCATCTCGCTGAAAGATCATGTTTATAAACACCTCTACAATACATGACATAAGGCAAGTTTCATATTGTAGTTTCTCATAATCATGCCTTAGGGAAAGCCAAGGGCATGACCCCAGAGTGCAGGCAGGTGTAGACTGCCCTGGTGGGGTTGTTGGAGCAGAATCATGGCAACAGGACAGGGAGAGGAAGTAGGACACACTCCTACAGCTCCCAGATGATACAGCCTCACCCAAAGATAAAGTCCAGAACTGTGCTCCTCTAGGGCTGTAGGAAGGGTGTCCTGTGTAATTAGAAATTATAATTTTCTATTAGAAAAATTTTAAAAAGATTACCCTCCCTCCCATAATATAAACTGTACAGAACTTAACAAAGACCTGGCTAGCGAGGATAAAGACGCAAGGACTCCTATACTATATAAGTCACAGGCACGGTGAAGAGCATATTAGAATAGGGGTGTGTGCCTGTGTGTGTGTGTGTGTTTGTAAATCTTCATGAAAAGAAAAATATTCTAGGCCTGAAAAGGTTGAAAAACTTTGGTCTGGACAGAATGTACAGAGAACTGTCTTTTGAACTGTGCCTCCCTAAAGATGATTTTTTTCTCAGCTGGGCTTTTGTGGCATCTAAGTACTGTGGACTTAATGGCTCAAGATAGGTGGGGAAGGCTTCTGAGTACGGGGTTGACTCCAAGAGGCTTTGTCTTGAAAGAAAATCCTGAGTATGGCACGCATTTAAGCCACAGTAATGTCGTAGGAGGCAAAGGAGAGCTTAGGTTAGAGGATGAGCGTTTCCCTTCTTTCGAAAACGATCTACATGGGCACAAACTGATACTTAGCAAAGTAGCTGCGGTTTGGATCACGTGAGTTCTGCTTTCTGAAACAACTAACTTGAATGAAAATCCTAAAGGCACCCTGCGAATACCAAAGAGGGCACTTTGATGTTTTTTTCAGAGGCAAATGCATGTTGTTTCTGTTTTCTTTTTGAACCCACAACTGTACTTAACATCTAAATTTAAGGAAAGGCTTCCTGAAAAAGTCGAGTGACGAATTTCTCTCTTATTTAAACTAGTCTCTGGCGTTCCTATAAATCTGATGGATTAAATGAACTGCTTGCTAGACAAACAGTAGCTGGGATGTGGGAAGAATTCCTACCGTGGCTAATAGGACGTCTTAATGGTTTGCATATGCAGAGGATTACCTTAAACTTGAGTCTGAGATTTCACGTTGCGGCTCACAAAAGAGCTGCCTTTTCTTCAAAGAATCACGCTGTTTTCGAGTGGGTGGGTGTGTACTCAGAGCGGGCGCTGTGTTGGTTTTGTTCCGTGTAAGGTTGACAAGGCAGTAGCGACTTGCGGCCACACCGGGGCAGCCTCTTCCCGGCTGGCGGCCGGGCCAGGCGGATCGGCGCCGGGGCGCCGACAAAGCACCGAAGTTGAGCTTGCCAACAATTTAAAGGGGTCCAGAAACATCCATCTTCCCCCCTTTAACAATTACGGCGAGCTCAGGGGTCTTGGTGAAAAGACCTCGGGGAAGAGAAATGGACTTTCTTGTGGAAAATGCCTTCAGCGGCCCCAAATGCCCAACCCGCCCGCTCCCCAAAGCGGAGGGAAAGCGGGAGCGGGAGGGGAGGGTGGGTCAGCTCCGAGGGGACCCGCTTCACGGCTGGGGAGTCCGCGGGGAACCGCAGGGGAGCGAGGGGGTGGGGTGGGCACTGGGGCCGAACTCCATCGCCCCCGCGCCCGCGGCCCGCCCCCCAGCCCGGCCTGTGATTGGCTTGGGGGGCGCGTGTGCCCGCCCCGGCGAGGCGGGGAGGATCCCCTCTGAGCGCGGGGCGGGAGGAGGCGGAGGAGGGGGCGGGGAGAGCGGGGGCCGAGAGGGAGCGAGCGTGGGGGCGGACGAGCCGGGTTCCAGAGATCAGAGAGCAGGCTCGGAGAGGGGCGGAGAGCGGCGGGCGAGCTGGGAGGGAGGGAAAGCCCGGCGGGCGCTGCGCCGCCGCCGCCCGCTGCACGCCGCGCTCTCGGGACCGCCGGCCCGCAAGGCCCCGCAGCCTTCCGGGAGGAAGCGGCGCAGGCAGCGGCCGGGGCGCACGCGCTCGGGCTCCCTCACCTGCCGGCGCCCGGCGGGACGCGCGCAGGGCCGGACGGCCCCGGAGGAGGAGGGAAGACCTGGCCGCCCGCGCCGCAGCCCAGCAGCCCGGGAGCACGTCTGATCCCGCGCGGGGGGCCGGCTCCATGGCGACCGGGCTTGGGGAGGCGGTCTACGGACTTTCGGAAGACGAGGTGAGCTGCGCCCCCTTCCCGACGGGACTCCCCGGGAGGTTCCTGTCCGGCGGCGGCAGGGAGTGGGGAGTGGGACGACCCCTTGGGTGCGCGTCCCCCGCCCCTGAAGGGGGACCCCAAAGGCGGGAGCGTCCGGGAGCGGGGTCCCGGTGGGGTGCTCGCTTCTTCCGCCCCGAGCCTGCCGCCCCTCCCCCCCCGGCCCTGCGCATTGTTTGTAAATAAAGCGGCGCGACGCCCAGCGAGCCTGGGGTTCACTTGCCGCTCCCCGCCTTTGGGTGGAAGGAGGGCGCGTGCGCTTCTCAGCCCGCGTGTTCCTTTCCTCCAAGCCGCGTCTCTTGGGGCTGTGGGGCAACTTTCCGCCTTTCGCCCCTGCAGCCCGGGAGTCCATGACGTGTGTCACGTCTGGGTCGCGGGCTGGAGACCCGCGCCGCGCGGGGGAGCCCGGGGCCGCGGCAAAACCTGGATTGTCTCCCCCTGGAACTTTCTAATGATGGTGTCAGCAAGTGTTCTGATGCGTGTGTGCTTGTTACGGTGGGAGAGAGTGAAACGTTCTGAGCTGTGCGTGTCCGACCCTCTGTCTTGCAGAGTCTAAAGCCAGGAGTGTGGATTTCGGGGTCTTTTTGGTGGGGGGAGGAGATCTAGGATGGGGGCAGGTGCTGCTGGAAACTTGGGGGAAGCTTGCAGCCCTGCCATTTTTTTTTTCCCTCTCCGGGATCCAGCACCTCCGGGGTGGGTGGAGAGAGGAAAGCTCAATTGATCCTTTTTATTGATGAAGCGAATTAAGTAAGCCACGCCCCCGAGGCTGTCGTTTCGCCTGGAAAGGGCTTTGTTTTTACCCTCACTCTCTCCTCGCCGGTTCCCACTCCCCCCTTTTGAGAAGATCCTGCTACATCACTGCTTAGACCTCTCCCGACCAGCCACGCTCGGGTCTTATTAGTGTGTTGCTCTGCCAAAAGTGGGGTGGGCGGCTGTCGCTGGCGCGGCGTGACGGGCAAGCTGGATGGAGCAGGTAGGAGGGGTTTGCCATCTGGCGGGGCGCGCGTTTAGGTCTGGCTCCCCTTTCGAGAGGTGAATTTACAACCCAAGAGGCATTACTCAGCGGGGAGGTATTTCCTATCCTGGTTGTGCATTTCATGATAAGTTAATGTCTGGAAATTCAAGGATTTCTGGGTTTCTCTTTCTTCCTCTCCTTTCTTTTCTGAGATCCCCTCTTTCTCTGGCGATAGGGGTGGGGTTAATAGACACGACCACGTTATGGCTTCTCTCCCACCCTGGTAGTGTGTGTGTGTGTGTGCGCGCGCGCGCGCTCCGTAAGTGTGTAATGGAATAGGTGTTTTAGGGTGGAGAAGGTGGTGTGGGTATGTTCCCCCCCTTAATGTTGCTAGGTAAAGCTTGCTGTGGTATTTATTTTATCAAAGAATGATCGCAATGCAAATAATGTGATTGGCGTTTCCGATCATTTTGCCATGCTGGGCTCTTGTAAAATATTTCCCCCCCTTTTGTGCACTTACCTGAGGATGGGTGAAAAGTAACAGTGTTTCACTTACCCAGGGGGATCTCCTCTCCCTGTTTTCTCTTTGAGGAGCTTACTCTTTCATTCTCTACTTCTCCATTTAATTAGTAGCGGTAGAGGGCAGGCAGTGAGCTTTTAGAAAGGTGGTGAGATACACATTCCCAAACAAAGGGGCATGAAGACAGCTGCCTTTCATCTTAGGTCTTTTTAAAAAAATGACTTATTATGATTATTATTAAAAATCCCTGGAAAAGAGAATTCTTAAAGAGCGTTTTGGGAAAAGCAGCTGGATAAATGAATCACATGCATGTCAGTGTAGTTTCTGCTTTGTCTGCATTTACAGTTAGTGTCAGAATCGACCCAGAGCACATCTTACCACTTTTGTCTAGGTGAGTTAATACTGATGATCTTAATTGGTGTCTGGGGCAAAAGTGAAGGATGGAATGTAAACAGAATCAGGGTGTGTGAGTGTGTGTGTTTGTGTATGACTGGGTTCACTCCTGTATGTTGCTGGAGGGGAATTTAGGGCTGTATAGGGAATAGCAAGAGGTGATGAGGACATTATATTGATTGATTGAGTGGTGGCCATGTTGGTGATACTATTTAGTTCCACACACTATTCCAAAAGACAGGTCACATCTGTCTTCCCTTTTCAGCTTGCCTTACCAGTGGTGAGGAAAAAAAAAAAGGCAGGGCTGTTTTGATGACTTCACATTTTTATGGTATTTGCTTTTTATGGGAGGTTTCATGCTGTCAGGTTGCCCTTCGGAAGATCAGGGATTGCCTTCGTGGAATATTAACAAGAAATTGTTGAATTTGAACAGCTTGTTTTGTCTTCCTGAGTTAGCCTGTGTAAGAAAACAAATGGAAGATTTTAACAGGCTCTTAAAGTAGATGCCTGATGAAACAAACAGCAGGGTTGTTTTCCCAAGGCGTTCGCTTCAGCTCATACAGTTGGTGTGCTGTAGATCATCACAAAGATATTTTGATTGCTGTGTGGAAGAGTCACCTTATAAACCTCTTAGCTAAATAGGCATTCGTACCTAGCAAATTTCATAAAAGTTTGTATTTTCATTGAAGGTTGGTGAAAAGCATTATCGTGTGTTTGGCATGCACTTAGTTGTAGCCCGTCACAGAAAGACGCTTTAGCTCTAAGCACTGCTGGTGATGAAGCATTGCATTAACCCAGAAAATCGCGGGATGCCAAGACAGAGGGCATTGTTCCTAGGTCTGTCCAGCTTGTCAAATGAAAGGGATTAAATGTGGGCTTTGCTTGTGTGAGTGCATGTGCTGTTTATTTTTTATTGTGCCTTTCTGGCTGGGGTTCCTCTGGTGAATTATAGTTCATATTCACCCGGATTCAAATTAAGTCCATTTAGGTAATCAAATTGGAAATTGCTATCAGACGAAGGGCTTTTGGTATTGGAGGGATTAGCAGATTAAGCAAATTTCTGATTCAGGGCCCAGGATCAGATTTGATTTGGAATCAGAACAGTTTGGACTAGTTTCTGCATTTGGCTTAGTTCCTTGGTGGTTTTTTGTTTTTGTTTATTTTTTGGCAAGCTGCAGCCCATTTTGGCATAGTTTACTCGTGAATGTTGCTGTTAACCTTCTGAAATCTTTTATTACAGCATCTCAGAAAGGTATCCTTTATTTACAAGATTTTCTGGTGAGTGAAAGTTTGATAACTTTTTCCTTAGATATGGCATTTACATTTTTTGGCGGTTAGAATGAAACAAATGGCATAGAGACGAAGGCCAGGCTGACGTGGGATGATACTTTGACACCCTCCCTCTTTATTTTATGCAAATAAGGATAGTTGGCTAACGTTTCATATGTTTTCTCTACACCTGGCACTGTGTTAAGCCTTTATGCACTTACCGTCTCATTTAATTGTTGTAAGAACCCAGTGAGGTGTGCTATGATTTACAGATGAATGGAGGCTCAGAGAGGTTAAGTGACCTGCATAAGGACCCAGGGCGAGTTAAGTTGTAGAGCCAGGATTTGAACCCAGTTCTGTTGATTCCACAACCCTAGTTTTTAACATGCTCCCTCTCTTCCAAGTACTTGAAAAGTCTTCATAACTAAGTTATTCAGGATAATGTAGGAGATAAATGTCAGGGGTTGTAAACTGATGGCTTCTGGCCACAGTTGACCAGGGACCCTGCTTAGTATTATCTCCATAGTGTTTTAAATCTTGGGAATTTTCATGGAAAATGGTAAAAATCTGACTTCATTGGGGCTACATTCTCACCTGGCAAGTTAATGGGTCTGAGTTGTGGCCCTTGAGATGTGGCAGCTGTGCTACAGTTGCCACGGTCTCTTCTTCTCCTATAGTCTTAGGAGTCTTCTTGCTCATTTGCATATAATTACCCGCTTCATAACAAACATTTAAGGTTAACCTTTGGCATAGATATAGTATTTTCTTTACTCCAAGATGCTGTCAATTTTAAGATGCACCACTCTTTTGTCGACCACTAAGAAAAGAAAAGCTATCAAGCTGTGATAATACTGTTGATTTCATGAAGCATCATTATTTCAGAGATGTTAAAATATGAAAACAAGGATGTGTTAGAATTTATTACTTACTCTAACCGGAAGCCTGGGATAACCCTGGGTCATCAGTTTCAAACACCACGCCCCATCAGTCAGTAATTTTTTTTTGTGACTGTGTTGTGTCTTCGTTGCTGTCTGTGGGCTTTCTCTAGTTGTGGTGAGCAGGGGCTACTCTTCTTCGCGCTGCGCGGGCTTCTCATTTCGGTGGCTTCTCTTGTTGCGGAGCACGGACTCTAGGCGTGTGGGCTTCAGGAGTTGTGGCACATGGGCTCAGTAGTTGTGGCTCACAGGCTCTAGAATTCAGGCTCAGTAGTTGTGGCGCACGGGCTTAGTTGCTCTGAGGCATATTCCCAAACCAGGGATCGAACCCCATCTGCGGGTTCTTAACAACTGCACTACCGGGAACGTCCAGTCAATAATTTAAAGTCAGCTCCACTCAGATTCCTGCTCTTCTGTCTCAGAGAAAAGGGCTAGCATAAGGGAAATGCTCTTAAGTGGACATCAGCAGAGAAGAAACAGGGAACCTAGCTGCTGGGCCACCTGATTAGCCACATGTGAGTAATTGAGAATAGTCGTTAATGTATAGAATGTGGTCCATGTGTGTTTTCTAGAGATTACTTGAGAAACCCTGCAGGCCATCTTTGCAGCTGTGCAAAAAATGGTCACAAGATTGCTTTCAGAAATTACAGTTTGGGTATTGTTTGGATCTGAAGGAGGATGCTGAGAGGCCACTTCTCAGAGGAACATAAGCCTTGTCCCTTCATTCCAGCTCCAAGTGCCTGCTGGAGTCAGGCCTATCCCTGCTGATCGGGGAGCTCTCTACCCAGGACATGGGCTACCCCAGTTACATGTGTCATTACTGCTAACATTTGAGAAACAGATCCTAAAAGGGCCTAGGTTTTATGGTGACATTTGAAAGCAGTTTTTAAAA